GACAAACAGACGGAAACGAGAGACCTACTTTTTCATATTCTGGACTCTATTACGTTCGTAAAAAAGCACTCACTCCACCAAAACCAAAATTATGTGAGTGGGCTTCCCAGGGAATCCCCGACTCGGTAATAATTTATGCTAAAACGACTTAGCATTTTTCATCTAAACAGACACCGGAAACCGATTGAACAACACAGAAAAAAGCAAACCAGGCTCTCTTAAATCGGACACAATCTATTGCTTGTTGCATTTCTTTGGCAGCGACTGATGCCAACATTCGTTCCCAACCGGATATGTTCAAAAGCAATATCCGGATCTGAGCGACCCATTTTATTATCAAACCGTACAGAAAATTTGTATCGACAGGGGGTTATGCACGGAATCAGCTACCTTCGAAATGGAGTGCTCCGGACGGACTGAAATCATAAGTGGGCCAATTGCCAACCGAAGTGGTTAAACTATTTTAAAGAATGAAAATCCAACTACTTTTCGCAACCCCTCCACCACTTATCGCCCCTAAGAAATAATTTTCATTAAACCCGTGGCTAACAACGCCACCGTTAATAGTCAACCTCCGGGATTAGACGTGCTAGTCCAAAATCCCGGAGTCCCGGAATGCCGTCACCCTTTCCGGGCAACGACTCCGGACGTAATGAAGGCCGCATCACAATGCCGGAAAATTTATGCAACTTACAAATGATGGATGAGTTCCTCCGGGCAACTTGAAAGTGTCAAGCGGGCAATGCTTTCAGCCGCAACGACGTTGAAGAAATATTTAGCGTAATTTTGAAAATAAACAACAGTGTTGACTCATTGCCAGCTACTTAAATAAAGTCTTTGAACCTCGGTTTTGTCGAAAACACAGATCACAATGCCAGAAATTTATTTCATTTACAAATGATGGATGAGTTTAGTTGCCTTAAGGTAACTTAGGTACTAGAGCGGGTAATTTTAACCATGAAGAAGGGCGCCATGTCCAAGACCGACTCCGACTCCGAGACCCAGGGGAGCTCCGACGAGTCCAGGTCCGGCGGCGATCACTCCGGGGACGGCGAGCCCGATGCCGCTGGGGTAGGCGGCGGCCACGGCGAAGAGGGCGACGACGGCGAAGATCAAGTATTTGAACATTTTGATTGATTGGGAGGTTGTTTGTTGCTGTTGTGAGGAACAGTAATGGTTGTTTGCGCGGAATTGGGCTATTTATAAGGGGAAAAATTGCCTGAATATTGATGGTGGAGGAAAAATAGAGATATTATGATGCAATTTGTGAAGAAATTACTCGGATTGATTGTGACTTAGAGAAAAGTTTGAATAAATTTGCAAGTTCTGTGAAGGACTTGTCTGCCTGCGAGGAATTATTTTTTTAAGAACGGTGATTGCCACTGGAATTTTTTATTCCTGAGAGTAAGCTACTTTTATGTTTTCTCGTCACAAAGCGCCCAAACATTAACCCTCCAAAACTAACCACACTTTTCAATTTACTCCAAACTGACAACATTAACAATAACCCAATTCCCCCATAATTGCTTTTCCTCGAACCCGTCACTCAAACAATCGCCCCGAAAATTGCTTTCTAAATTCGCCTAATCACGAAAGAATTAATAAATTTGCACACGTCTATCTCGCCGCCCCCAAAATCGCGCCCCGCACCCACCAAATCCGAATCGCCGCGCTATGCTAATCCAGCGCTATTAATTAGCTAATTGGCTCGGAATTACCATAATTTACCGCGAAAACCCCCTATAAATGCCCCATAATCAGCGGCAATCGACACAGCGTTATCAACCGACCAACCAACAACTCCTATCAAGATGATGAAATTCTTGCTTCTCCTCATCGTGGTGATTATCGCCGCCGCTGAAGCCAGCCTCGTCGCCGCCCCCGGAGTGGCCATAGCCGCCGGCCCCGCCGTCGTCGGAGTCGCCCCCGGAGCCTGGGGAGGAGCCTGGGGTGCCGGCTGGGGACGCAAGGGATGGTAAACGCGAAATCCACCACCTGATAGGGTCATTTCTACTGATAAGGCACATTTTTCAATCAATCATCTGTATAAAATGTAAAATAAAAATTTTAGCAGCAGAAACTCTCTCCGTTTACCTTACTAGTACGAAAAAATTGGTCTAAAGAGTTTAGACAGTACTTCCCTAGCTGTCGGAAACTTGACGACTGCATGCCTATTGTGTTTTTTTTCTCATTACATTTTTGTAGTGGGAATTTAAAAAAAAATTGCGATGACGTCATCAACATTTTTGCAAGGACACGTATATCAGTTGGGATAAATGTAGTGTAATACTAAGAATAAAATTATTATATTCTCAAATTTTCGAGAAAATGAATTGGGTCGTTTTGAATATTGATTTGTAATAATCAATAAAATAACGAAAAAATTTACTCACGTATACGTATCAGAGGCAACTGAAAATCGTGTATGTATAAACATTCTTAATTTAAGATGACAGGCGTAACAGCATACGTGAGAGTCAAACAGAGAAACTGTAAACAAAACGACCGTCGGTTTTATTGCTTCGACTTCCGCTTATTATATAAAACATTGGGTTTTATTTTAATTCTTGACGGTGGAATTCACAATTGGTTGATTATAAACATGTCTATTTCACATTCGCAGAACCAAGTGAACGCATAAAACAAATGCAGGTCTGTAATGTTAAAGTCGATGTAAATAAGCGTGCTACCCTTATGTTTCAACCGAGTTTTTCTTTTAACAAATTTTGTGTCTACCAAATTGGGTTGGTTGGGGTGTAATACTAATAATAAGTGTTGCCTTTAATTTAATCAATAAAATAAATTGACTTCATTAATTTTTTTGAACCACCTCTTAAGAAAATCTAAAAAATATGAATGGAATGATAAATCACAAGTACAAACTCATCATATTTTTTGCATTTTAGATAGGATTTATTCAGCAAAATTTAAGGGTGACGTCATCAATTTTTTTAGGAGGGATGAACAAATACATTTTGAATAAAAGTTTACCATGCTTATAATAACTTTAAAATATTCCCAAGATTTCAAAGCATTCGGTTTTGTAATTCCTGATTAAATCGATAAAATAAATTCACGCCTTCATTAATTTTTTTGAGTCACCCTGCATATGCGAATTAAAAAATACGAATGGAATGATAAATCACAAGTACAGACTCATAATATTTTGTACATTTTAGATACGATTTATTCGGCAAACTTTTGAGCTGAGGTCATCAGTTTTTTGTAGAAGATAACCAAATATATTTTGACTGAAAATTTATTATGCTCTTTATAACCTTAAAACATCTGCAAGATTTCAAAGCATTCGGTTTTGTAGTTCCTGATTAAATCAATAAAATAAATTTACGCATTCATTAATTTTTTTGAGTCACCCTGTATATGCAAATCCAAAAAATATGAATGGAGTGATAGATCACAAGTACAGACTCATCATATTTTGTACATTCTAGATATGATTTATTCCACAAACTTTTGAGCTGACGTCATCAAGTTTTTGGAGGGGATAAGCAAATATTTTTTGACTAAAGATTTATGATGCTCTTTATAGCCTTAAAACATCTGCAACATTTCAAAGCATTCTGGTTAGCAGATTAAAAATTAAATTTCAAAATGTTGTTTTATAATTTTGATTTTTTTTTCCAAAAATCTGGACGTTTCGGGTGAAAAGTCGATTCAGAGTTGTAAACTACATGTGTAGGACTATGTTATTTTATACAATTGAAAACCCATTTACTATGTACAATTTTGAAATGACGTCATCGCATTAGTGGTGGGGATGATTAGACAAATTTTGGTTAGCGTTTTACCATCTACATGATATTCTTGATATAAGTACAAAATTTCACAACAATCGGTCGAGTACTTTCGGAGATTATCTGTCTAATGAAAATCCGGGGGCAGACGGACAGACGGACAGACGGACAGACGGACGGACAGACGGACAGACAGACCGAAATGGGAGACCTATTTCTTCGTCTTCTAGGGGTCATGAAAGATCGAGAAAACGTAAAAGTAGAGAGTCGGCCGACGGACTCGATTACAATACTTCCTTTGCTTACGCCCGGGAAGCAAAAACCAGTTACCGCACGTGTGTGAACTTCGTTCACGTGCATAAATGCGACAATTATCGCACTGTTGTCTCCGTGTCCACGTCCGTCCCAATCACCACAATAATTAAACAGCCGCCCCTACTTTCGCACAAAAGCCCACCGGGGGCCCAATTCTCTGTCACTAGCACGTCACTAATCCCCATTGTTTACCCAAACCTGACATCGCGTCAGTTCTGCCACTAATTAAAAATCCACGTCAGCATGACGCAATTTCCAGAAATCCCAACATTTTAAAATTCTAATGGGACCGGGCTGAAAGTATGGTGCGTTTGTTTGTGGAATAGAATGGAACAATAACATCCATTGATGTTCCGTATCGCTCACGGCGCAATTTTATCACGTTGGCTAAACATTGTTACCAACCCACAATTACAATATTATTGTAAACAGCCGTACATGTTATGTCATTACGTAACGTCAATTCGCGTAATTACGTTGGTAACGAGGCGCTGCTATTGAAAATCAATGCGAAGGGTTAAAAATGTGAACGGGTGAATAAATAAATGAGAATAAATATTTGACGTTAGGTGGATGCGAAACCGGCGGTCCACTAAAATCACAAAACGGAATCAATTTGATACGTTGGAATGAATGTTGTGATTATGAAATGTGAACGCTTGGGAAATATGATTTCCTCATTTTTATAGCGGAAAGTTCGATTATTCGTGTTTTGAGAGCTTAATTTGGGTGGGTGTTATTAAGTGATTTATTGTTAGCGGCTGGGTCTGAAATTTCGACGAAACTTCAAGCTTTTCGATTTTTATTGGATTCAAGCGAAATGACCGTGTATCCGGGCTTTAATTAAAAATAGTACGGAGATAATAATGGCAATTAACGGTATAAATAATGGCTGTTGCAATTACTAACTGGCGTTTTTTGTTGTTTCAGCCTACAAGTTCACGTTCGTAAAAATGTTCCTCTACTAGACTGAAGGTAAGCGACTATGTAGGCATTTTTATGATATCGTATTTACAAACAAAGGAAAAAGTGTGGACGCCTATTTTAAGTACAACCAGTGCTAAAGCCTTGCCTACACATACAAACTTTGTACCATCCTCTATCGCAGCCAACTTGGATGGAAAGCTGGACTTGTAGACGAATAGCGATTTTTTTATGAGTTAACCAAATTCATATCTCTTGCTGTAATTGTAAATCACGTTTACGTCCCTAGGGCGGGACAGTAATTTACGGTCAAAAGGCTTTAATTAATATGCTGTTAAATTAAGGTGTGACGTACATTTCCGTCGATTTTTCACAGCACAGCTCTAGGAAATTAAGATAAGTGAAGAGGATCATGTTACCTGTGTCTCCCACTTCATCAACAACAACACTGAAACGTTCTGTGAGAAGTACGTCAGAAATAATTGCGAAATTCAGCCTTTTTGAGCTCCGGTTCAGATATGCTAAGACAGTTTTCTCCGTTTCTGTTTGAAATTTCCATATGCAAAGTTGCGTCATATCACGGTTATTTCCACTACTACGACAATCGTCTATTTTTATGAAGATAAAATCCGTGCTTTCGAATTTCCTGACTGGAATAAAAACTTTGTAATCAGTGCTTTAGAGGGGTTATGATGCGAAAATTAGCAGATGTTTATTTATACAGGATTTTTTAAGGGGAAATAGTTTGAAACTGATAAATATAATTTTGAATGAAAAACCGGACTACTATAATCCGAAATCAAGATTATCCGAACATCCAGTAATCCGAAGAGAGGTTAGTTGAAGTCGATATCTCTTTAATCCGAACCAGAACTCTGCAATTCAAACTGTATTTGAAAACATGCACCTACTTGCAAAATTGACGCAAGATCTTCTTTCTGTACGTGTTGTATTGAATTTTTTGAAATTTTTAAAAATTGTGATATTTCAATGCCCCGAATTAATTAACTAATTCTGGAAAAAAGGTTGAAGTTATCGAAGAAATGCGGCTGGAAGTGACTTCTGCACCCTGAAATCTACAAGAAAAAGTATTTTGTTAAATTTAGAAAATCGTCGAAAATGGATTGAAATTTGCTAGTACTTGCCAAATAACCTACCCTCGAAGAAAATAAAAGCCAGGTGAGCGAGGAGAGTATTAGCCAAATTAAGACTCATTTTGGCAAATGATCTACTCCTCTAAGAAAAAGTACTAAGCCCGCCCACCCACCCTTTATTTTCTTAGAAGAGAGGGTCGTCTGCCAAAATCAGTTTTTTGTTAACAAGTACTAGCCCCGCCCACCCACCCTTATTTTCTTAGAGGATATGTCATCGTGAAAAGCAAAAATTTTAACTTGAGAACTTGAAAAATTAAAAATCAAAAATTCCAAAATTGGAAAGTTAAAACTTGAAAAATCGAAAGATTGGATTTAAAAACTGCAAAATTACATTACAAATTATTTTTACGAACAAATTATCAAATGAAATATTCAAAAGTTGAAAAGCCTAAAAACTTAAAAAAAAAACTGAAATTTTGAATTCGATTTTATAAGATTTTTTTTAGTTTTTCGATATTTCAGTTTTTGATTTTCCGATTAAACAGTTGCACAATTTTCCGATTGCTCATTTATCCAATTTTTCAATTTGTGATTTTTTGATTTTTAAGTTTTTATTTTTAGCAAGTACTAGCCCCACCCACCCAGCCTTCATTTTCTTAGAAGAATAAATCATCTGCCAAAATCAGTATTATACTTGCCAAGATAAGATTGATTTTGGCAGATGACCTACTCTTCTAAGACAATAAAGGGTGGGTGGGCGGGGCTAGTACCTATTCTTAGAAGAGTAAGTCATTGGCCAAAATGAATCTTATTTTGGCAAATACTAGCCTGGCCCACCCGCCTTTTATTTTCTTAGAGGGTAGGTTATTTGGCAAGTGCTAGCCTCACCCATCCGCCCTTTGTTTTCTTAGAGAGTAGATCATTTGCCAATATCAGTCTTATCGTAGCCGAGAACTATTAAATTTTGCAGTTTTTCGATTTTTCAACTTTCAAATTTTTCAATTTTTCGCTTTTTAAATTTTCAATTTTTTGTTGTCTTTCCATTTTTGAGTTATCTTAAAAAACTTTCGATTTTTTAATGTTACAATTTTGGCATTTACCGATTTCTGTTATTTGATTTTAAAAAATATCCAGAAAATAGATGTTTTTTTAATTTTTGATTTTCGATTTTTTGTCACCGAGTTTTTGGAAGGGAGTAAAAAATAATTTTGATTGCCATGTTTATCATAACTTTAAAACATCTGGAAATTTTGTTTCTAAGTTTCAATTTTTGGATTTTTCAAAATTTCGGTTCGAATAAATTTGTTCTTTTAGTTAAAAAATCGAAAAATGACAAATCGTGAAAAAGAAAAATTTTAACTTCATAACTTAAAAAATTAAAAATCAAAAACTTCCAAAATTGTAAAGTAAAAATTTGGAAAATCAAAAGATTGGAATTAGAAACTGCAAAATTGTCAAACAAATTATCAAATGAAATATTCAAAAGTTGAAATATCTAAAAACTAAAAAAAAAATTAAAACTGGAATTTTGAATTCGATTTTATAAGATATTATTTTCTTAGAAGAATAAGTCATCTGCCAAAATCAGTCTTATCTTGGCAACTACTAGCCCCCCGCCCACCCACCCTTTTCCTCTTATAAGAATAAGTCATCTGCCAAAATCAGTCTTATCTTGGCATGATAAGATTAATTTTGGCAGATGACTTACTTTTCTAAGACAATAAAGGGTAGGTGGGCGGGGCTAGTATCTTTTCTTAGAAAAGTAGGTTATTGGCCAAAATCAGTCTTATCGTAGCGAGTACTACTAAATTTTTCAGTTTTTCGATTTTTCAACTTTCGAATTTTTCAATTTCTCGCTTTTAAAATTTTCAATTTTTTGATCTCTTTCGATTTTTCTTAAAAAAAAAAACTTTCGATTTTTTAATTTTACAATTGTGGCAGTTTTCTGATTTCTCAATTATTCGATTTTTAAAAATATCGAGAAAATAGATGTTTATTTTTTAAATTTTCGATTTTTGATTTTTTGTCACCAAGTTTTTGGAAGGGAGTAAAAAGTAATTTTGATCAGCGATTGCCATGTTTACTGGAACTAATTTTCAATTTTGGGATTTTTCGATTTTTCAAAATTTCGGTTCGAATAAATTTCATCTTGTAGTTAAAAAATCAAAAATGACAAATCGTCAAAAGGAAAAATTTTAACTCGAGAACTTGAAAAATTAAAAATCAAAAAATTCCAAAAATGTGCAGTTAAAACTTGAAAAATCAAAAGATTGGAATTAAAAACTGCAAAATTGTCCAACAAATTATCAAATGAAATATTCAAACGTTGAAAAATCTAAAAACTTAAAAAAAATGAAAACTGGCATTTTGAATTCGATTTCATAAGTTTTGTTTTTTTTTTTCAATTTTTCGATATTTCAGTTTTTGATTTTCCGATTTCTCATTTATCCAATTTTTCAATTTGTCATTTTTTGATTTTTAAGTATTTTTTATTTTTAGCGAATACTAGCCCCACCCACCCAGCCTCTACTTTCTTAGAAGAATAAGTCATCTGCCAAAATCAGTCTTATCTTGTCAAGTACTAGCCCCCCGCCCACCCACCCGTATTTTCTTAAAGGATATGTCATTTGCAAATATCAGTCTCATACTTGCCAAGATAAGATTGATTTTGGCAGATAACCTACTCTTCTAAGAAAATAAAGGGTGGGTGGGCGGGGCTAGTTCCTTTTCTTAGAAGAGTAGGTCATTTATCAAAATACAAAAATTAGGCAAACATTCATACTACTAAAACCAGCAATAAAAATAATCCTGCGATCTTTTTTTTAAATTAATAGTGAACTTTTGAGTCGTAAATTTATAAAAACAAAAAGGATTCTTCAGTATGAAGTCCAAATTTTATTTACTTTAAAGCTAATTCGCCCCATTTTTCTAAACTTTTTTTTGGAAACCATATTATTACCAATTATTATTAATTAGACTTTTTTTGAAATTATTTTCTAACGCGTAAATTACAGAATTAATCCAAATCTAAAATACATAGAAGTAATTACCGGCCGACCATTAATTCTTGAAGCAAATTTTTGTATTGACAACTTGAATTATTGGCAACAATGTTAACTGGGTTTCCAAAATTTAAATTTGATAATCAGGTATGCCATTATAAGATTTTAGATATGTTGCCAACCTGATTAATCAGTCAGAATTTAAAGTTACGTCATCAAGTTTTTGGAAGGAAGACCGAAAAAAAATCTTATTAATGTGAAAAAATAAAAAAAAACCTGTTTTAAAGAATAATAATGCAGTAAAACCTCTCTAAAACGGACATTTTCGATTCACCCCTATTTCAAAAATAGTTTGTCGTGGCCAAACACGAACCAGTTTTTTTTACCCCGGATGCGCTTAAATATTCGGAACAACTGGGATGCTCTGCTATTACATATTTTAAAATGCGTTATAAAATGTATCATTAGTCGCTGTCCTTTCTCGCATAACAACAAAACGATTTTATTGTTTTTACAAAAAAAAAAAAACAAAATAGAACAAAAGTGCATCAACCAATCAATTTTGTAATTTACTAAACCGTCAGCTATCACTCTTTGTAAATAAATTCCTCGATACATACAACGTAGTTAATAACCCAACATTTAAACCTAATAACTTATTAATGTCATCCAATTTTTACAAATTATCTGTTACACTTTTCATTGAAGTGTCAACCTTACACACACAGGTTCCGCGCTTTCAATAATTCATACCCCATAAATTATACACCGGTTATTCTATTTCAGTCCTTCCAATACAAACTCCATTTATTACCCCCACGGCGTCGGCCCATAACAGCGCCTCGCTTTTCCACGACCATTACACCACTCTAATTAAGTGCAACCAAACCAGCCCACCACCCAACAAAGGCATGTGCACTTGACTCTGGAAAAAAACAAAAGTGCACGCACCCAT